AATAATGGTGTGTTCCTACCAGACGCGAAGCGAATATACGCATCGCGCCACTCGCGCTAGATTACTCGCGGCATGTTTTTCGTGTCACTCGCGCGAATAAAAACAGCGCGATCAACCATGCTGGAGATAACTACAATCGCTGTTTTGTACCTGTTGTCAAAAAGTCCTAAATACAATGGAAAGCCAAACGCCGACGGGTCTGGGTTCACAGCACTATCCAGAGGAGGATGAATAACGTTAGGATCCTGTATTAATAGGGCCTTTCGCATTAGAACTAAATGTACAGTACTAAAGTACTGGGACGATTTTGCGTGAACTATTTCCCAGTACCATTTAAAGGGTTGCACTCGCACCGACAGTGTGTACTAAGTAGTGACGTAAGCCGTTCGACAGCAACGTCAATTGTGCGCGGCGTTCAACAACAGAAACAAAGAAGAACAACATTAACAACAGGAGGATGGAGGACGCTGTGAACGGAGCTGTGTTTTTGTTGTGTCTCGCTGGTTTCACAATAATGGACATGGAAAGTCGATGTATACGTAAAGCGATTGAAAGAAAGGAAAGGAGGACTAAGAATCTCCAACTGGCAGTGCTACATTTGCTACAAGTGCCAGCACTTCAGCGTCCGTCCATCTATCGCTGTTCTCCATACTTGCGAAATAAGTTGACACAATGTTTACAGTATTACCTTTTGAAAAGGTACCGCCCAAGTAACAGCTTTTGTACCTTTTTTTTTTTCTGAGAGTGCATACATTGTACACAATGCTGGGTTGATTATTTAAAAAATGTAATCTATCACTGATTACATGATGAAAACTGTAGTTAGTAAAGTAATCTAGGTTACTAATTTAAGGCATGACTACTTTTTGGATTACTTTTAGATTACTTTTTGATCAAACTTTAAACGTACCATATTGATATAAAAAACAAAGAGAAAGAAAATATATTCCATTTTTTTATATCAGCATCATAAAATGCATTAAACATGACATTAGTGAGTTGATAAAAAGCAAAACATTAATGAAATCATAAATAAACACTTGAACACTAAAAGTACAAATATTTGATTTGTTTACCTGCATGTCAATGGGACCATTAACAGATATCAGAGAACATGCAAATGTGTTGTTAAATTATTAGAAATATTAGCTTCCTCAGAAATATTTCAAATGTATTTATTTAAACAACTTGTTATTATAGTCAAATCTAAATGATAGGATTTTTTAGAAAGGAACATTTAAAAGAGAGAAAAAAAAGAACAATTAAGGAGAATCAATAAATTATGAATAATTTACTGCCATTGTGTAATCATGTAATCCATAAAAATGTAACTGCAGTCTAATTATGCCCATTTTAAAATGTAATATACTCTAAGTTCAAGTGCTTAGTTTTTGAAAATCTGATTATGTAATACAGATTACTCAGTTACTACCCAGCTCTGATTAAATGTATGGATATTTGCATTGCATTGACTGTTCTATGTAGATCCCACCTTCTCGCATGCCACAATTGTTCAATTAATTACAACGCCTACATGCTATTGGTCAACTTTGACTACAAAGCTAAAACCTGGACATATGAGGCAACTTAGAAATGCCGGCCAGGACATGTTCAGGAAAAAGAGGACGTATGTTCACCCTATCATCAACTTACAACTGATGACGGCACTGACACTGAAACGTCTTCAGAAAATGAGAGATAAAGTCCAGTTGTAAATGAATGAACTCCATAAATAGAAATACTGTGTATCAATGATTTTTTTTAGGATTTGGTTCCAGCATTAAGAACTGAAATGTAAAAAAATAGCCTTTTTAGGGTAAAAAATACCCATGTATTAAGTATATACTGTTCATTTTGCTCTTTTGGAATTATTAGTGCACCACTGTCTCTTTGTCTCAAAAGCACTGAGTCAGTATATGTCTCCCTGGCAACTAAGTACAACAGGAAGTTATGCAAATACCAAGTGGAGTTTGACAAAGGTTTTCACGTCCCGACCAGAGACAGAACGGAACTGAGTGTTCCACACCACACACAGATCCACTATTTGACACTTGGACGAGCTTTTCTCTGGAGCATATTAATTACTGACTTCATTCGAGACAAAGGAAGAACCTTTTGTAACGCTGACACCAGATCTTCAGTTTCAATATAATGAGCAGAAGGTCAGAACAATTCATCATCTTTAATAATGTTGGGTCCTTTCAGGTGCAGACAATGTCATTTAAAACATCCATTGTGTCTAGTCCATTAAAGGTTAGTGTTACTGAACTGCCCACCCTCCAGTTCTCTACCTGTATAACCTGTCATTTTCAAATGAACCTGAAGACCTCGGTTAGCTGGTTCAGGTGTATGCGATGAGAGCTGGAATATGAATCGTGATAGTATGACCTCACTGGGGAAAGCCTTTCATATACAAACCACTCGTTGGATCTACCTCAAACTCTTTCACAGAGAATTACTAACCAACATCAGGAATGGTACAATGCTTTATAGATATTTAGAAAGTACTGTAGTCATTTAAATGTATGTGGAAATGTTTAAAAACATTTCTGCTGGGTATAAGAGGGTTTAACTGTATCACCTTTGGAATTTCACTCTTTGTTCATATTAGAAATGTGCAGATTTTGAATGATCTACATCGATTAATCTGCTTGTCCAATATGATGCCAGAACTAAAAATACAGTATGCCAGGAAACAAAAAAAAACTATTTTTTTTTACAGTAACTTGGCAGCTGTGCTTGCAAAACATATCAGAGAGTAAACAATTATAGTAATGATATATCATTAAATGATATAATGTCAATATACCAACCTATTCAAGCTATTGGAATATGTTACTGTAAAATGTGATAATAACATAATGCAAGACCACATGATGACTGAAAAAGCATAAAAATCGGCAACTGTATAGCTAATAATAACAACATTAAGCCAGAACCAGTGTCACCCACACAAATGCAAAACACCAGTAACTGAGTAACACACAGAATGATCCAATTATCACACAAGCAAGAATGCAGTAGTAGTGAATATCAGCATGACTGTGATTTCCTGTGATTACAAAGCCATATGATATTCAGTGCACAGCAAGAGGTTAATATTCATTTTTTTTCATACAGAATTTGGCTAATTATGTTCTATCCCCCAATAAAAATAGCTACAAAAGGAGCCAAGAGGCGCACTCAGCATAATAGGCAAATGGAGTGATGTTATGCCCCAGTGCTGTTATATGAAATAGCAGCACTCTTAGTAATATGTTCAACGAATCGGATTAAAAATCCGAAACAAATCGAAACAAATATGATGGTTTGCACAAAGATTTCAATAAATTATAAGGCAAATAATTTATACAAGTTTTAATAATTTATAATTTATACTTAAAGAAGTATTTTGTTCCTACATATAATACACATTTTTTTCTGTAAATAATGTGGTTCACACACTGTAAAAAAAAAAAAAAAATTGAAGTTGTAAATAAAACAAAGATTACTGAAGTGCATTTTACAAAAAAATATATTTCAGCCTTACCACAGTCTTACCACATTGTTACATTTAATTTATTGTTACTTGACATTTCTTTGTAATTAAATGTGAAAATTGCTAGCGATATCTGAGTGAAATTTGTTTCTACACATTTTTGTTTTCCAGTAGGCTTATGTGTGTAAAAAGCATAATTTTATTGTATTGCCTTGTTAAATTTAATAAGAAAAAGGCTATTGTTGTAAATAATAATTTTGCTCTAAAGTGCCTTGTCTGGACAAAAATCAAAAAAGATTAAAATACAATGAAATAATGCAATTTATAGCCTACTTTTTTACTCGCAAGAAACACAATTTTAACAGAACTGAAAAGAGTGTGGTATTGCCTTGTTAAATATAGCCTACACGTTATTTTCAATTATAAGGCAATTCATAGTTCTAATTATTTATTAATTTGTACCATTTTACATTAAAAGTACTGTCTTTAAAAGGTCTAATACTATTTTCACGGTATGTGGTAAGGTAACCAACGAACAGGTTTTTACTGTAGCATTTTCTCCCCAACGTAGAAACTCCTGCATGCTTTTGAGGCTGGAAGCGGCGGCGGAATCATCATTCACATTCATTCATCGCGCTCAGTGCATCACAAGAAGCTCATCATGAGCTATGATGAGTCCCTCATATGCAGGTCAGAGGATGAACGTGATATTCACTGATACATCTGTCACAGACGGATTGGATGAGAGCTCATCCTAGAGGAGATGACAGCTCTCATATGATATACCCTACACCGATGCATGCGTGTCAGCACACAACCGGCTCATTATTCCCGAACGCTTCCTACTTACAGGGGCTGTTGTGGGAGAAGCGTGCTCTCCTGGGCGAGTGGGATTCGTTCTGATCCAGTTCATACGCGGAGGCGATGAGCACGGCGAGCAGCAGAAGTCCGGTCCTTGGCGGCATCTCTCACTAAATGACACTGGGGCTTTTATGAAGGGCAATAAAATAGGATTTCCTTTATGTCTTGCGCGCTGTGCGGTGCGTCTTCTTGGCGACTTCGTTGAGGAAATGCGTGCGATGTGGGCAGTATCGTGAAGGCTCTGGCTGTCCGGCTGATCTCCAGCAATTTCTTCTTCCATCCGCGTGCATGACAGGAGCGCAGGTCGCCCTTTATATATGCCCGAGCATCACGAGCTCGCCGCTCAGCCCAATCACATCACAGCAGGCGATCCAACACAGCCTCTGCTCCAACTTTCATTCATTGATCCGTAGCATTTAAATGGGCTTATCGTATGGCGTAAAGTTAGCTGTTCCTTTTAACTTGGGAAAGGTGATCGGGAAAACGCTCACATCCGCGCACTGTTGTCATATACAAATAAACGCGTCCAAGAGCGCGTGGCATATTTGATCCTTCATAACGTCACAAACGGAGCTCGTTTGTTTGCAACTTTACCCTATACTGAACGAACAAAAAAGAGCTAAAAGTGCAAGAACCCCTCTGAAACCAGCAACCAGACAACAAACCGGCAGGGTATCTAAACATTGCTTACTATTTATCACAGCTACATCAACCACTTTCTATGCATACAACAATCAGAGTGATTTAGATGCTCTGGCCAAGCTGGTTCCCTCAAAAATGACCAAACTCCTTTAAAACCAGCGTCTGGCACATCCTCATAATGTAGGCTACTACTAAAAAAAAAAAAAAAAACACTGAGATTTATGTAACTTTAAATGAGTATTATTAATTATTTAATTGACTAAATGAATAATTATTAAAATGATCAATAATTATTCTTTTTTTTTATCGTGGTACTCCAAAAAAACACTGAGATTTATGTCACTTTAAATGAGTAAACCGGACTGTTAAATAATATGGCATCCATATGACCCCATTCCTGTAAGTCTAATGAACTCTGATCACGCAAGTCTAAATCTCATTACTGGCCTGGGCAAATGACAGCTTGTTTTTCTTTATCTTTTGGTTTCATTCTGTAGTGTTATATTTCAACTGTCTGCTAAAGCGTTACGACAGCATCGCGTTTTAGTCAAATGTATTGCGTTCTTTGTTTTTCTTAAATGTCTTTGAGAAATAACATTTGAAGTTATTCAAATGACCCGCTTTTTTATCGCTTTGGCATTTTGATGGACCCTCTGCAATAATGCCGCTATTGTTGGCGAAGCGGACGGAATCGTCTCTAGCTGACAGATAAACTACGCAGTTATTGACACAAATCATGCAGCGTATGGAAAGCATCACTGTGTTGACTTTGCGCGTCTCGCAGCTCGCGCAGGGCGCACGTGCAGAAGCGCACGCATAATGTGACACTGAAGTCCGTGCGTGAATAATCGCACAGTCATGTTTAAGTGAGACATCTGCTCCGTTTAAGCCTTGAAGAAAGGAGAAGAGCAGTATTTTATTCTGAACACCCTTTAATTCCTAAAGGGAAGGTCAATAAATGAGCGTCTTGTTGCAACTGAGGCTGGGGCTAGTTGTCACAATTTTTACTCCAATTGATATTTCTCAGAATGTGAATTTCTGTATAGGCACATAACCTGATTTCTTGCTACATAAAAAAGTTTTGAACATTTTCATCATTATTGTCTAGGTAATGTTTTTATGCCAACCCTTTGTGTCCTGCATGTTGTAACCCTATGGGGTAAGTTGTCACACAGGGGACCGCCATTACACAGCCTATTCATGCTTTTCAATACTATTTAAACAGAGAGAGAGAGAGAGAGAGAGAGAGAGAGAGAGAGAGAGAGAAATAGTATGCAACACAAAACAGATGAGGGGAAAAATGTTAAAGACATTGTACAAAATATTAAACTATGGTTTTGGCCAGTAAATATAAATGAGATTATATGAAATTACAACCTGACATATATCTTGAGAACACATTGCAACTTTTTGGAGAAAATCAACCATTATTATTACATTTACATTTAGTCATTTAGCAGATGCTTTTATCCAAAGCGACTTACAGATGACTTACAAATTATATAGACAAGCCTCATCATAACATATTCAAATGTGGTTTTATTGTGTAGACCAGTTGCATAAACATAGCCACTGTGTTAAGACTGTGTCTTAAGAACTAGTTTGACCAACTAGTTGTTAGCCAAGAGGTAATCAGACTTACCTTTTGGATTCAAATTACACCATTCTCCCTTTTTATAACTGACTTTAAGAAATTATGACCAGTCTTAAAGAGAAAAAAATAGATGACTAACTTTTTAAGTCTAGTCTAAGCGGTTTATGCAACCGGCCCCTGATTTTCTGTTAAGTGTTTAAGTTAAGTTAACACAATAAGACTTCATATTAACAGTGTTCCTTCATATTCATTACACTGGATCCTACTTTTGCTGATTTGTCTTGTAACAAAGCATTGAGGTTGAAGCCTTCAAACGACAGTTTGTTTCTCACTGTTAAACTTTTTTTTGCCAGCACTTTATTTTAAGGTATTCTTGTTACATATGTTACATACTACTATAATAACAATAAATTATGAATAATTGCAAGCAAGTAAACCTAAGCCAAAACCCAATCCTAACCCTAACCATATAGTGAGTACATGTAGTTAATTAATATTACTCAGTACTTAAATGTCAAGTCAAGTCACCTTTATTTATATAGCGCTTTTAACAATACAGATTGTCAAAGCAACTGAACAGCATTAATTAGGAAAATAGTGTGTCAATAATGCAAAATGACAATAGTAAAGACACATTTTTCAGTTAAAGACAGTTCATCATTGAATTCAGTGATGTCAACATCCAGCTCAGTTTAAATAGTATCTTTGCAATCAAA